AAATCATAACAGTGTGTCATATGCCAAAAGAGACAAAATTTGTGTGTGTGTGTGTGTGTATTTTTTAAATGCTTAAAGCAAGTAAATGCAGAAGAAATAGACACAATCAAAATAATAATAAAAAATGGCATGCACGAATGAATGAACACAGTAGACAACACATGCATGCATCCAATCACCAATTTAGGGTGAAATTTGAATGCCCTTACCATGAAGAGCATGACCATTTCACGACCTACGAGGTCACTCCTCTTGACCTAAATTATCTTAAAAGTAGAAGATGATTGAGTTAACCGAGTCTTCATCTCAGTTAAGTAGCTAACTTGATTGGCAAGAAAGTCAACCTTGCTAGTGAAATCCAGATTCTTGTTACTAGTCACTCGGTTACGACACCAAGGTTTGATGTGTTCCAATACACTACATTGGTGGCAAGTGGGAATGAACTATGGTCTAAACCTGCTCAGTAGAGGTTGCCGAAGAGTGGACGATTGACCCTACGTTGTGCGGTTGGTACCAATCCTATAGCATGGTTACCTTTGGGTCTCGAATAGACAATCTCACGAGTTTTGTTCGTACCAGGAATGAATGTGGTCTTAGATGTACTCACAGTAGCATTATGGTTACGAAAATAACCCAGACCATGCCTGTCACCCGCAGGTTCCCAAGCAGAGTGTCCAGCTTCTGCGAACCACTCATAAACGATTGAAGTTGAGCAGTAGATTTATCAAGATCAATAGTTAATGATTTAACTTTAATTTCCAAGTTTTCATTAACCAACTTCAACTCACTTAATTTTCTCGTTAAGTCCTGAAGGTCACCTAACAGAACTCATAAACGATTGAAGTTGAGCAATAGATTTATCAAGATCAATAGTTAATGATTTAACTTTAATTTCCAAGTTTTCATTAACCAACTTCAACTCACTTAATTTTCTCGTTAAGTCTTGAAGGTCACCTAACAGTTTTTCACGTTCAAGTTTAAGTTCGTTCACTTTTTTCAAGACGGCTTTATCGACCTTTTTCATGTTGAGACTCTCCACAAACAATTCACGATAAGACTCGGGAATGTCAGTCTCTTCATCAGACTCTTCTTCGGACTCGTTTGCTCGTATTTTCTCATTCAACATTTTCAATCTCACGATCAACTTCGATTGTAGCAATCAAGGTGAAGGCCATGAATTTTCGATCATCCTCACCACTAGATATCTCATTCTGAGAGCTAGACTCTGACTCCTCATCACTTATGATCACAACTAAGGCCCTAAGATGTTCTATACCTGAACTCCTCTTCAAATTTGGACATTCACTCCTAATGTGACCATATCCCTTACACTCATGCCATTGGACAGATTGAGATTTCTTAACGGGAGTCCTAGAGGTGTTACTCTCATGCCTACCTCTCGAGAGTTTAGTATGGACTTCACTATTTTTCTCCTGATGCATTCTTCTATTTTTCATCACCTCGAATTTTTTAACGAAATAAGCAATTTCGTCATCTCTAAGGGTTTCAGTGTCAGTGGACTAGCTTTCAGCTTCTCTGACAGTGTTCATGGCGATGGATTTCTGTTTCTTAGGTCGTGCTAAGGTTACTTCATAAGTTTGGAGGGATCCTACGAGTTCTTCCACCTTAATGATATCTAAGTCCTTACTTTCTTTAATTGCAGTAACTTTAGGTCTGAACCTCTCGGGCAGTGATCTGAGGACTTTCCTACTAATCTTTGACTCGGGAATCCTCTCACCTAAATTAAAACTTGAATTGACTATGTCATTTAGTTTAGCATAGAAACCATCAAACGTCTCATCATCAACCATCCTTATCTCTTCAAACCTAGTAGTCAACATCTGCAGTTTAGAGTTCTTAACAGTTTTAGTTCCCTCGTGTGTGGTTTCTAAAATATCTCAAACATTTTTAGCAATTTCACACATCGAGACTCGCCTAAACTCTTCAGCAGACACAGCCATGAACAGGGCATGTAATGCTTTACTATTCTAGTTGCATTCATCGAGATTGGTTTTGGACTACAGAGATATGTCAGTGAGTGTGACTACACCAGCAACAATTGTTGAAGGTGGTGCCCACCCACTTTGAATGTTAATCCAAACACGTCCATCCATAGATTTAAGGAAGGCTCTCATTCGAATTTTCAAGTAGGCGTAGTTGCTTCCATCGAAGAATGGAGGCACAGATAAAGACTGGCTCATCTAGACTTTGACAAATAAGGGTCAGGAATTGATGTAAGGCTCTGATACCAATTGAAAGTTACGCAGGTTCGACCCTAACAACACGTAGAGGAGGTGAATAGGTGTAATATACGAAATTAAAATCTCATTAACTAATTCGCAACAAGTCGCCAATTAATTATCTCTAAATGGTTAATCATACAGTCAGTTTAATCCTAAGTTTAAATATCATAGATCATTCATTTGTAACATAAAGCAGTAAATTAAACACCAAAATGATCACGAAGAAAGCCAACAGGGAAAAACTTTGGGCACTTTGTCAGTCAATCTACCATAAATGAATTTAACAACTTACAGTCTACCAGACTAGATGACTTGTACTATTTGATCACTCGACTGCACTCATCACAGCTCTCTGTGGATCCCGTGCTCTCCTACACCAATCCTTAGTTGCTATTGCCAAAGCTCTCCATGGAATCTGCTATCCTGCAGAACTCCAAGCCTTGTAAATTTGTCTCTCTCTCGTGGATCACGAATAACAACCTGCTCTTTACAAACTGGAACTCTAGTCGCCTTCCTCGATCTTTAGCACCTCTGACAGATATGCAGGAAGTTTGGTTTTTGGTATTTGTCTAATGTTTTTCTGACCAAAAGGTTGAATAATGGAATGATTAGATCTCTCAATGATGAAACTCTCTCAATTAACAATCTTAGGAAAAAAGTTCCATACGTGTTCTAGTATAAATAGATAGGTCAAGAAATCAATGAGTCGAGACAAAAGCCTTTAAAACGCGAAAATAAAATTTCCCGTATAAAGCGTCGCTCGAGTTTGCCAGCGACAGTGCTTCGCTTGAGAGAAGGAGGAGCGACAGTCCAGCGAAGTAGTTTCTGTTTTTATAGTTCGAACCAACCCTTGACAATAGTCTAGCGAAAATCCGTGCCTTTTTCTTCATTGTTCCAAACTCGAAACCCTAGATCTATTTAACTAACTTTTAAACAAATTGCACATTATTCCTTCAATTTTGACACTTTATCAAATTAAGTCCTTTTGTTCACAGAATTAGTCAATTACAAAATCAACTAAAACCTAATAATATCGTGCAAAAATAATTATTGAAAATAATATTTAAATAAATAAACAAATATGTGTGTGTGTGTGTGATCCCTTTTCTAACGCTAGAGTATTTGAATGAGATACAAAGGTACTTAACATAATATTATAGTCAATCAAAATATACTAAAGTTGTAAGTCTTATGGCCACCCGATTGTGCACGAATATAACTTTGATTTACAATTAAATCTCATTTATAAGACATGCATATTTAAGTTCAGTTTAAAGTGCAGATTTAAAAGATTTATACATATTAACACGCAGCAAAATAAACAATTGCTAGACTGTTAAATAATTACTTTTGCTAAATATTGTTGTAATAATATAGAATTTACTTGTGCAGCATGTTTGACATAAATGATACGCCATAAATACGGTGACACAATGTCCTTCATGCTATTAGACTAGATGCCGGATGTGTGGATACTTAAATAACTACCTGGCAACTCAGATCGATAGACAGATTTTTGGTTTTAATCAAGATAGATCAAGGGCGCGTCGGAACGGTCTTAGTCTCATCCAACATAAAAGTCTCCTTGTACTTCTTTTTTTTATTATTATTATTTTTTTTTCCGTTATTAGGAAAAAACAGAGAGTAAAGAGGAAAGAAAAATCATTTCTCTCATGAAAACCTCCCTTATTTTTTATATTATTCTTTTGGGACATTGGAGTTCCATGGAGATTCTGCATAGAATTGGGCAGGGCGATAAATTTGCCATATATTACATCTATGTTAATGTAGAAATTAGAATAAAGCTGGAGTCAAATTCTAGTATTATTTATTTATTATTTGGTTTGTTTATATAATTAGGGGTCTAATAAATAGGTTGTTAAGAGCTTAGGGACCTAGGGTGCAATTTCGACTTACTTGGTGATTAACTTTTGCATATTAGTCGCAGAACAATGCTTTTGTCTTGGTATTTTTATTCCGATTAAACTATAAAATATGTGATTTTGTTCCAATTATTGGCTGAGTTGTTATTCGTTACAATCGAAAATTTTGTGATCAATATTCGGTATTCAGTAATCTTATTAAGAATTAACGAACAAGAAATTCATAATTCCACGATATTCTTTGTAGATCGACATGTTTTTAGTCTCGTTCGTTGTGTTTTTACGATTTGCCACATTCTTGTGATGTTGACTCTCGGGTTTGAAAAGCCAAGGTCTGGATACTCTTTTGTGTGCACACAAAGGTTGTGCTATATGCCCTGATAAGTGCATTTTATGTGCTTATTCGAACTTTGATTCTTATTTATTGATCATTAAATTGAGCGAATATCTATTTAATATAGGTTAAATTATGTTTATTGTAGGTAAAATGTGGATTGGACAAGTTTGGATAAAATTGGATAAAATAATAAAGTCTTGAAGTGGAGGACCTTCCATGCAAATAAAAAGTCATGGGATGAACAAAAAATAAATGTGAAGGACCAAAGCGCCATAAACTGAAAAAATTCCAACTCTTATTGATTTTCTATTTACCCTGTGTTTGGTATCCATTCTTTTTTTCATTCTCATTCTTCTACTAATTTTCAACCACACATTCATCAATAAAATAATATTTTCCATCACATCAATAACTTCTCCTTCATTTTCAACCACATATTCCCCATCACATCACTTCAAAAAATGCATTCTCTCATTTTAATGTGCACCAAACAGGCTCTAAAACTGATTTAGTTGAACTTTGTGGTTTGCAGATTCAATGTCTGTGTGGAATCTTCTTAGAGAGTTCCGCATCAGGAAGGTGCACATGGCTGTTGTTCTTAATGAATATGGAGGAACTGTTGGAGTAAGTCATATTCTCAGACCTCAGTTTTGTTTATGTCTCAGGAATTATACAATTTCTTGGTATGTATTCGTTAATTTTCCAAATCGAATTAGCTGCAGG